AACCAGCTTCAAATCTTGAACAAAGACATTCTAAAGGCACTTTATTGCCAGAATACAATGGAAATAATCCCCGGGCCTGTAAAGATGGCAGAAATCCATCCAGGATGTTTTCAGCCAACATTAAGCCATTAATTACAGTGACTGCAGTCTCACAGCTCTAGGTGCGATTCCTGTTCACACTCTGTAAGTGTGCAGTTGTCATGCTTTGCCCGTGTCCGCATGGGTTTCCACTGGGTACTCGTGTTTTCTCTCACAATCAGACACATGAGGTTGGGTGTAGTGGTGTCTCTAAATAGCCCTCAGTGTATATTAGTGTGTACTGACCCCCTGTGACCAGCTTGCATCTCATCCAGGCAGCTGAGGGAATAATTAAATTAACTAGAATAAAGATGGAAATGTTGGCCTATTATTTATGAATGAGTCTGCTGATGTTGTTGTGAGATCAGATGCTCACTAACAGTATCTGTGTGCTGTGAGCTCACTCACCTTTACTGATGGTCTTAGTGATTTTATTAGCACCGTGCTGCACCTCACATGTGTACATAGTGTTACTCTCCCAGACGCTGCTGTCCAGTTTCAGCAAACTGCTGGCTGAGTACAGTCCTGTCTGTCCTTTCTCTGACTGCCAGGTCTGTCCTGAGACAGTTCTGTACCCAGCTTTCCATGTCACAGTGACGCTCTTGGGGTGGAAGTCCTGAATGACACACATTAGAGCATCTACACGGCTCTCCCCACTGGGCAGAGTCATGAGACTCACGGTTGGGGATGCTGTTGAAACTAAAAGTACAGAAAGTTAAAAAAGGCAAAAGGAAAACGTCAGTGACCCTTCATATTTCAGTTATTTCAGTTCACTGCAGAAATAAAACTCCACAGGAAATCAGATAATCTCAGTTTGAACACACAGACATGTGTCTACAGCAATGTTACCTGGCTTCTTTATTCTCCCAGATAGCTGTGTTTTAAGGGATTGGTGTCGTGCAGTACATTCATAATGAGTTTGTCCACCCCAGTCTGCCACATTGACGCGGATCTCACTGACCACCATGCTGACTCCATTGTTCTTGACCGCTGAGTACTGATAAATGTCAGACAGCTGGTTACCGCTGCTGCCCTGCCAGCTAAAGCTCACAGAATCCACTGGTGAGAAGCCGCCTGCGACACAGCCGAGGCTGATAAGACCTGCAGAGCCGCTGGGATTACATGGCTGCAGAGCATAGAGGAAGTCTGGTCCTTTGAGGGAATCTATAACAGAAAATAAACAAATACATAGCATCAAAATAATAGTCAGCAGTAGCCAAATAACTAAAATATTTTATTTTGTTGTGAAGATGTTTAAGTAATCACTGTCATGTAAAATATTACGGCATCGGGCGGACCGAGGAATGGCGGGAGCAAAGACAACGGAGACTCGCTTGCAGCAGGTCAATGTGGTAGCCAGATAATAGGTTAGTATAACAGTGTTACTTAAATAATTGAGTGTTTATCACTGTACATGAGGGCTAACTTTCCCTGCGTTCCTGTTGGCCAGATTGTTAAAGACTAAGGGAGGACAGCGCCCATTTACAAAATGCACTTTTTACCTCTTAAGGCCACTTGAAATTAATAAATTGTTTTACATGACTCAAACTTCTAAAATATTGGTGAGTAGGGGATTTTATATTTTATATTTTATATTTTTAGCGAAAAGACGAACGGCAACATAGATATACTAAAACTAGAAAAGTTCTCAAACAGCTCGCGAAGGGTA